TTGTTGCTTGTTTTAGGGCGTATTCGATAGAAATTAAAATCGGATTAAAATTGAAAAATTAGCCGTTATTGTTGACTTTTATTAGACGAGTGAGACCCAATAACGGCTATATTTTCAATTTTAATTGGATTTTAATCACTCCCAAACATTCACTTAATAAAAAATAAAATAAAAATCTCCATTTCAAAGTTTATAAGAGAAAAAAGATTAAAAAAGCAAAAAGTTCAAGTTTTCTAAATATTTTATATAAATTCTAAATAATTTTAATTATGAATAAAAAATGCAAACTTTAAAATTTTCGGATAAAATGGATCTACACGCATGCTCGTAAATGGTCCATAACCTTTATATTAATGAGAGAAGGTACACAGCGCACTGTGATTTGTCAGGAGATTTATTACTGAGAGAAGGCACATAGTTTTCTGGGATCTTGAACAATCTGACTAAATCCAAGGATGGAAATAATTTCTCCAACTTAAGAATAGAAAAAGTAATGGTCTTTCATTCTTTTAATGATTTGTTTAGTTAAATGTTTTGGAAAAAAAATGAAAATCGAAAAGATATTTATGGGTAATGAAGATGGATATATACGACTAGTTTTCTCTTAATTTATATCAATATTTTATTAATATTTATGGGTAATGAAGATGGATATATACGACGTGAATCCTCATTCAAAATAATTAACGATTTGTTGATTTTTTCAAGTATTTCAGTTTTAGATATTGTATTGAAAAAGTGCAAGTAATTAGTATAAAATAATGAGTTTATAAGAAGTTGAATTACTCTATCTCACACTTTTTATCTTCGCTTGGTTTGAATAATTATGAAAACAATATGAACGAAATGAGAGTATCTAATGAATGCAATATTCTTTCTTTCTACCTTGTTTTTTTTTTCATCGCTTCTTAATGTTGGATTACATATGTGCAATAAGTTGTCCATGTGAAGTGACCGTTCCACACTCTAATGAAGTGAGTTGGAGCGAGTGGTTCGTATCTAAATTCAAACGCTAAACCTCCCTTAACTTGCACACATACCTTCGATTATAACTACGAAAAACAAGGGGAAAAGGGCCTAAAATGATGGAAATTTTTGTTTGAAAATGCAGTACCAAAAAATGAAAAAGAACATGAAATTCTCACAAAATAATGGCATTTAGACCCTAGACCAGGGGCGGACCCACTAAGGGCCCAGCCGGGGCGGCCGCCCCCACTGAAAAAAAAAACCAAATTTTTTTAGCTTATTTTCTATCTCGCCCCCACTCAAAATTACTTCTGGGTCCGCCCCTACCCTAGACAATAAACTCTGTCCATGTAGATTGAGTTGTCGACCATACGAGTGCAACAAAATGAGGATTTGGAAGAGAAGTGCAAGTGGATTTAACCATGCAAGGATTTTGGAATTTTTTCACTATAAAGTAGGGTTTTAGGATCAAATTTTTTTATGTACATGGTGCAGAATGTTTCTATTTCCAACCAGATAAGAATTAGGGCAAAGCCTCTTATAAATTCATTACATCACAAGTAACATGTCGGACAAGTTGTCAAGTTGTACCGAACAGAGACTGCACCAAAAATTAAGAATAATGTAATAACTAAAAATCCAAAGGCACATATATACCAAGTGGGAACAAAAGCACATCTCAGATGCATGAATCGAGTTATGCGGGTGGGGTGGGGTGGGGTGCCAAGTAGATGAACAAAGTTATCGGCCAATCTTAAAAAATAATTAAACTTATTTTTGAAATTATATTTATATTCAATTAAAATTGCTCTTTTAAGACATAAAAAATCTTACACATTGAGAGAGGAAAAAAAAAAAAAAAAACCAACTCAATAAACAACAATTTTCTAATTCAGAAGATGAAATACAATTTAGTAATTGCAAAATTCAAGAATAGTTGTATAAATACTAAAATTTAAACATCAAAGTATTGATTTGGGGGTGATGTAACCGTTATAGTCAAAAGATAGAGCTATTGCAATCAAACCCTCTATAATGAGTTGCAAAGCCACGACGGAGAAAGGGTGGCGTAGTCACAATCCTGATTATGGGAGGGTGGCATAGTCACAATCCTGATTATAGGTGGGGTACGTGATCACCTAAGGTCTCGTCTTGATGAAAGTCCTAAAACAAGTTTTTTTTTTTCATTATACTATATATTTATAAATAATGAAGAATTTTTTTTTCAAAGAAAATTTATATTTTTCAAAGGTAAAAAAAAGTTTTAAATAAATTAGTGAGTTTTCATTTCATTTTATTTTGTTTTTCTCATTTTCAAGATGAATTTTCGTTTTCTCATTGCTGTTTCTTTGTTTGTTTTCTCATTGCTGTTTCTTTGTTTGTTACTTGATTTTTCGACTTTTATTTTAATTTCTTTGTTCATCCCCATTTTCAACCCTATGCAAATTCTGTAGCTTACGTTTACAATCTTTAACATTAATGCTAAGATTTATGATTTTTTTTGCTTTAATTTTTTGCCCTCTTGAATTTATATATATACATATTATATATATTTGTGTTTTTCATTTAGTATAGAATTGATTAGATTTTTTTATTGATACATCTATATTACTTTTTTTTTTTGTGATGATACTTTGACTATTCTCTTTGTATATATATTATTCATGGATATTGTTTGCAAATATTTTCTTTATTTGAAAACTCTTGAACTTCATATGATGATTTTAAGAGGTTAGTGTAAGTCTAATTTATATTTGGCAATTTCTTAAGACAAAAAATTACAATTTATTAGATTTGCATTAGAATTTAATTATATTGTAATCAAAGCCAAAATAGATTTAGAAAAGTCCAAGTTAAGGTAAAATTAGTATATGGTTGATAGAGTCCAAAAAATAAGTCAAAGAAATCCAAGAGGAAGATCAAAGACTTGGGCTTGAAGAAGTTGAAATCGAGGACTCATTTTCGCTAGATTGTCGCCCAGTTGGCACTCGAGTGAAGAAGCAGAATCCCCATCGTTTGCGAAGCGCTAGAATGGCGCTCGAGCGATAGGTGAGCTGCTTGTCCAGCGCTCGAACGATGAGTCGACGTCCAGAATTTTGTTTTGATTCAAACACTTGATTTTTCAATCTTTGTACCGGGTTTGGGAGCTAGTGTGAGGAGCTTGCAATCCAGGGGACCAATGTGATATACCAAGAGTTGGGATATAGTGTGAGGAGCATGCAATCCAGTAAAATTAATGGTGACTATAGGAAAAAATGTTAGAGGGGACTAAGGGTTAGTCGAGTCTGACCCGTACTTTAAGTTGTTTCGTTTATTGTGGATTATTGATTGATAAAATGTTTGGAGTTTTTGATTATTTGCAAATGATTTTCTTCGTCATCATATTAGTATTATTTACTATTTTTTATTTACAAACTATGGTAATCAAAGTTAGGATAAAATTGACTTGGTTGACTTAATTATCTAGAGAGAATTAAAAAGTGGCTCGTTACTTTTAATTATGTAATTTCGCACGTTGGGACTAAATATTCAATAAATTTGAACTTTCAATTAGAATTATGATAATGTTTTTAATACAAAAGAGAAGCATAAAGGCTTACCGAAAATAGTACTAGAAATAAACCCGATGACATTTTACACACCGTGTTATTATCATGGTACTCTTATTTTTGTACTTTGTGATATGACACATTTTTGTCTGAAAATTAATCTTTTTTTTTTGGGATTGTACAATGTAAATATCTATTGTTTTCATGTTCTACAAAGCGATGTAATGCAAAAGGTCACACACTTAAGTCACTAAATATGTTGGGAAAGTCGAGTTAAAAGTATTAAAGTAATGAGATTTCCTCCAAAAATAAAGCCACTTTAAGATACTCGACGGAATCATATAAAGACCTTAAGATATTTAAAGACGCTAAAAGTTTATCTTGTAACATTATGCATATTTAGTTCTTGTTTAACCTATTTATTTGGTACAATATGTCGATTATTAATAGAGTAAGCTAAATGTCGCAAAAGTGAGGACGTGTCGTCGTGTCTTTTAATATTGCTATTAATCCTTTGAAAGCAGATCTGATTCCTACTACATTATTGCTAAAAAATTACAAATCAAATGGAAGTTGAACCTAAATTTCATGAAAATCATATTATTTATGAAAATAAGCACTTTAATGAAAATGTCAATAATAAGATAACATATCCAGTTGAAGAATCTTTGGAGTTGATAATTTATCATATATAGTTGACCAAGCTCTTTTTCACTTAAGGTAAGGTTTGAACAATTTCAAAAATATGAAAATACTTTCGGATTTTTGTTTGATTTAACAAAATTACAGTATGCGGATAATAATTGTTTGAAGTATTGGTGTGATGAGCTCGAAGAACTTTTGAAGCGTGAAACGAATTCTGATATTAATCATGAGGTAGAATATCTTCTGAACTATAAATTGTGAGAAATGATTTGTCAATAGAGATCAAAAAGGCGATTGAAGTGTTAGACTATATAAAAATGAT